CAAGGCTTTGGTTGGGGTTTACAAAAAAGTCATTTTTTTGCATTTCCATATGTACAAGTATATAGATATGCCGGCTCCTCTCCCTTCATAGAAGCCCAAGTATAATGAATGAATGTTGATCATCTTCCCAGTAATACACAACGGCTTCATTTTTAAAGCCCATTCATTAAATACATACCGCAGTGTGGAGCCCATTGTGGCCTTGAAGGGGGGGGGAACTATGAGGGGGGGTGAAAAATCACTCGGCCTCATAGTTCGAGCCGACCTGTGACAACGAGACTGTCGCACGTCGGCTCGATAGATCGGGAAGTGGGGGAACACATACCGGCGCTCGCTCACTTCTCGCTCATCTCCCTGCAGGGACTCCCCCGAATCCTCCTCCTCCCCCCACTCTGATCCTCCAGCGCTGACTGGATGAACAGATGGGGAGGGGGTGGGTACAGCTGGCTCTGCCTCTAGATAGGCGGAGCCATCTGTCACTCAAGCTGCTGGGCGGATCTCAACAGCATTGTCTGGATCGGTCTCGGTATACCGCGAGCTGTAGCTCCCTATATACTGAGCTTAGGGTGACGGGAGGACGCTAAGGACCTGATGAGAGAGGAAGCCCAGAAGATGAACAGCCTGCTGCCGACCATGTGGCTGGGAGCGCAGAACGGACAGTAAGTTGTCTCCGCCCCCTGCGAAGTCCTCGCTGGGAACGATATGTAAGGTGATTGCTCTGAGTGACGGGTGTCTCTGTTACAGCCTCTACGTACACTCGTCTGTCGCCCAATGGAAGAAGTGTCTGCTCCAAATTAAGCTGAAAGATTCCATCCTCAGTATTGTGTAAGTATAATCTGTACGGGAAAATGGCCGAGTGCGCAGAGTCATCCTGGAACCTAATCCTCGAATCGTATGAGAGCAGCCGGTCTTCATTGTGATGGATGTAGAGTTATCAAACTATGAAGTCCATCATCCCCCCTCCCCCACCCCAGTTTTCCTCTTCCTCTAATATTTGGGAATTTTTTGAATTGTGGAGTTCCGGCTCTTGTTACAAATGATTCTCCCTTTTGGTTATTTTTTGCATTCCTTTTTGTGTTTCAGCCATGTGAAGGGGATTGTGTTGGTGGCGCTGGCTGACGGGACTCTGGCGATCTTCCATCGAGGAGTTGGTAGGTGTGATGATCAGGAGGAAAGTGCAATATATTACCCACAGAGAAAGCAAAGTGGCTGCTTTTCCCCTTCTAGTCATTTTTTCACTTGATAAGCTCTTGTGCCCATTATGAGGAGCTCCCACCATCCCTGTGCTGAGCTCCCGGGTCTGTACACCCGCTGTGCCCATTATGAGGAGCTCCCACCATCCCTGTGCTGAGCTCCCGGGTCTGTACACCCGCTGTGCCCATTATGAGGAGCTCCCACCATCCCTGTGCTGAGCTCCCGGGTCTGTACACCCGCTGTGCCCATTATGAGGAGCTCCCACCATCCCTGTGCTGAGCTCCCGGGTCTGTACACCCGCTGTGCCCATTATGAGGAGCTCCCACCATCCCTGTGCTGAGCTCCCGGGTCTGTACACCCGCTGTGCCCATTATGAGGAGCTCCCACCATCCCTGTGCTGAGCTCCCGGGTCTGTACACCCGCTGTGCCCATTATGAGGAGCTCCCACCATCCCTGTGCTGAGCTCCCGGGTCTGTACACCCGCTGTGCCCATTATGAGGAGCTCCCACCATCCCTGTGCTGAGCTCCCGGGTCTGTACACCCGCTGTGCCCATTATGAGGAGCTCCCACCATCCCTGTGCTGAGCTCCCGGGTCTGTACACCCGCTGTGCCCATTATGAGGAGCTCCCACCATCCCTGTGCTGAGCTCCCGGGTCTGTACACCCGCTGTGCCCATTATGAGGAGCTCCCACCATCCCTGTGCTGAGCTCCCGGGTCTGTACACCCGCTGTGCCCATTATGAGGAGCTCCCACCATCCCTGTGCTGAGCTCCCGGGTCTGTACACCCGCTGTGCCCATTATGAGGAGCTCCCACCATCCCTGTGCTGAGCTCCCGGGTCTGTACACCCGCTGTGCCCATTATGAGGAGCTCCCACCATCCCTGTGCTGAGCTCCCGGGTCTGTACACCCGCTGTGCCCATTATGAGGAGCTCCCACCATCCCTGTGCTGAGCTCCCGGGTCTGTACACCCGCTGTGCCCATTATGAGGAGCTCCCACCATCCCTGTGCTGAGCTCCCGGGTCTGTACACCCGCTGTGCCCATTATGAGGAGCTCCCACCATCCCTGTGCTGAGCTCCCGGGTCTGTACACCCGCTGTGCCCATTATGAGGAGCTCCCACCATCCCTGTGCTGAGCTCCCGGGTCTGTACACCCGCTGTGCCCATTATGAGGAGCTCCCACCATCCCTGTGCTGAGCTCCCGGGTCTGTACACCCGCTGTGCCCATTATGAGGAGCTCCCACCATCCCTGTGCTGAGCTCCCGGGTCTGTACACCCGCTGTGCCCATTATGAGGAGCTCCCACCATCCCTGTGCTGAGCTCCCGGGTCTGTACACCCGCTGTGCCCATTATGAGGAGCTCCCACCATCCCTGTGCTGAGCTCCCGGGTCTGTACACCCGCTGTGCCCATTATGAGGAGCTCCCACCATCCCTGTGCTGAGCTCCCGGGTCTGTACACCCGCTGTGCCCATTATGAGGAGCTCCCACCATCCCTGTGCTGAGCTCCCGGGTCTGTACACCCGCTGTGCCCATTATGAGGAGCTCCCACCATCCCTGTGCTGAGCTCCCGGGTCTGTACACCCGCTGTGCCCATTATGAGGAGCTCCCACCATCCCTGTGCTGAGCTCCCGGGTCTGTACACCCGCTGTGCCCATTATGAGGAGCTCCCACCATCCCTGTGCTGAGCTCCCGGGTCTGTACACCCGCTGTGCCCATTATGAGGAGCTCCCACCATCCCTGTGCTGAGCTCCCGGGTCTGTACACCCGCTGTGCCCATTATGAGGAGCTCCCACCATCCCTGTGCTGAGCTCCCGGGTCTGTACACCCGCTGTGCCCATTATGAGGAGCTCCCACCATCCCTGTGCTGAGCTCCCGGGTCTGTACACCCGCTGTGCCCATTATGAGGAGCTCCCACCATCCCTGTGCTGAGCTCCCGGGTCTGTACACCCGCTGTGCCCATTATGAGGAGCTCCCACCATCCCTGTGCTGAGCTCCCGGGTCTGTACACCCGCTGTGCCCATTATGAGGAGCTCCCACCATCCCTGTGCTGAGCTCCCGGGTCTGTACACCCGCTGTGCCCATTATGAGGAGCTCCCACCATCCCTGTGCTGAGCTCCCGGGTCTGTACACCCGCTGTGCCCATTATGAGGAGCTCCCACCATCCCTGTGCTGAGCTCCCGGGTCTGTACACCCGCTGTGCCCATTATGAGGAGCTCCCACCATCCCTGTGCTGAGCTCCCGGGTCTGTACACCCGCTGTGCCCATTATGAGGAGCTCCCACCATCCCTGTGCTGAGCTCCCGGGTCTGTACACCCGCTGTGCCCATTATGAGGGGCACATTGGGCATTCCTAAGCCATAGTCTGTGGGCGGTGGAACTGGGGAAGGTTGTGTTCATGTATTTTATTTGCCGGTTTTGTAAATGTTTTGCTTTGTTTTTGTGTAGATGGCCAATGGGATCTTTCCAACTATCACCTCCTCGATTTTGGCCGTCCTCACCACTCGATCCGATGCATGACGGTGGTCCATGACAAGGTTTGGTGCGGATACAGGAACAAAATCTACATTGTGAATCCAAAGACGATGAAGATCGAGGTGAGCCGATCCGTTCTGCGATCCTTTCCTCGGATTACGTCGCCCGGTTCTCGCATTGCTGTGTCGCTTTATCTGGGTTGTTCGGTCAGTTTTGTTCATCTTATGTTTTTTTTTTTTACGTGTCCAGAAATCTTTTGATGCCCATCCGAGGAAGGAGAGCCAGGTGAGGCAGCTGGCGTGGATCGGCGATGGGGTTTGGGTTTCCATCCGGCTCGATTCAACGCTACGGTTGTACCATGCACACACCTACCAACATCTGCAGGACGTGGACATTGAGCCCTACGTTAGCAAAATGCTGGGTGAGTTCCGTATGTTGCGTACAGTAAATGTTTTGCTTTCTAATTATTTTTTGGTTCTGGGGATAATCTATTAAAAGAGAACTATGAGGTGAGGGAAAATCGCTCATCCTCATAGTTTGGGGCAATCTCATTATCACAGGTCGGCTCAATAGATCGGGAAGTGAGCGAACACATACCGGGTTCGCTCACCTCTCAATCCTGTCACGGATCTCTGCCGTGACAGGGGAGGGGCTGGATTCCCCGCTCCGATCCGCCAGCGCTGACTGGCGGAACGGGAGGGGGCGGGTACAGCTGGCTCTGCCTCTAGATAGGCGGAGCCAGCTGTCAGACACGCAGCTGGGCGGATCCCGGCACAATTGTCAGGATCCGCTCCGGCTGCGGCGTCTCAGTATACCGCGAGCTGTAGCTCCCTATATACTGAGCCTAAGGTGACGGGAGGACGCTAGTTTGTGTCCTCCCGTTACACTAAGGAGAACTATGGAGGAAAAGCCCTGACCCCCATAGTTCTCCTTTTATAGGAGAACTATGAGGTGAGGGAAAATCACTCATCCTCATAGTTCGGGGCGACGTGTGACAATGAGACTGTCACACGTCGGCTCAATAGATCGGGAAGTGAGAGAACACATACCGGCGTTCGCTCACATCTCGATCATGTCCCTGCAGAGAGTGGTGACTGTCACTCACGGCTCCCTGCAGGGATTCCCTCCCTCCCCGCTCCGATCCTCCAGCCCTGACTGGCGGAACGGATGGGGGCGGGTACAGCTGGCTCTGTCTCTAGATAGGCAGAGCCAGCTGTCACTCAACGCAGCTGGGTGGATCCAGACAGTGATGTCAGGATCCATCCTGGCTGCGGCGTCTCAGTATACCGCGAGCTGTAGCTCCCTATATACTGAGCTTAGGGTGACGGGAGGACGCTAGTTTGTGTCCTCCCGTGACCCTGAGGAGAACTATGGGGAAAAGCCCTGACCCCATAGTTCTCCTTTTAAAGATAGTCATGGATGCATGGACTCGTTCCTCTAGTGCAGGGGTAGCCAAACTCCGGCCCTCCAGCTGTGGTGGAACTACAAATCCCATGAGGCATTGCAAGATTCTCACAGACCTGACTCCCGGAGAGAGATGCATCGTGGGATTTGTAGTTTCACCACAGCTGGAGGGCCCGGAGTTTGGCTACCCCTGCTCTAGTGGGTCCTTTTTTTTACGACGTGCTTGAGCAAAACATACGCGATATACGGTATACACGCGTGTGTGTCATGTTGTGACGTCACAGGTCCTTCGATTTCTCCTCCAGTAATAGGCAGCCCCTTACTCCTGCACTGAACGGCATTGACATCATGACGAGTGCAGCATGCCGCTCATTGCAGTAGTATTCCGAGCCTAGGTCGGCATGATGACGCACCCCCCAGGGTGACAGCCTGAGGGGTCCATAGGGAGTGAGTTGATGGACGCTGGCCGTCATTTTCCCTGGAAGATCGGTGACACCTCGTGGCATTGTAGTTTGCAATGTTGCCTTTTCTTTTTACTCTTACTGGTCAATCAATTTACATTTTTATGTGTTTTCCGTCCATTAAAAAAAATTTAAAGACGAGTTTGTACTTTTTTTTTTTTTTTTTTTTCCAGGCACCGGAAAGCTCGGGTTCTCCTTCGTTAGGATAACGGCCCTGATGGTGTCCTGCAACCGGCTGTGGGTCGGGACCGGGAACGGCGTCATCATCTCCATCCCCCTGACGGAAAGTAAGTATGGACGGGACGTGGTGAATATACAGATTGGCTGCAGAGGAATCGTGGCATCATTAGGTTGTGCGGTAGGAACGTGTAAGGCTGGGCACACACCTTACAACCATTGGAGGACTTTTGTCTTGCGATGGTTGTAAGGTACTTTAAAAAAACGTACGATCTGCCTATGTTGCATAGGCAGATCGTACTTGCGTTGATTGCAAGCCACGCCCCCTTGAGGGCTTCCGATGACCGCAATGCCGAACGGGCAGTGTGCGCTTTCTTGCGCACACCGGCCCTTACGGCTGTTATCGTACGGACATGCCACAAACCCGCCGAACATCGTACGATGCTCGGCGGGTTTTCGAACATGTCCGTAAGTTTAAAGTCGTGCGACCGTACAGTAGCAGAGGTCGCGCGGCTTCCACACACCTTACCATAATCGTACGATCGCAGGATTTCCCGCCATTATCGTACGATTATCTTGGGGACCCTCATACACTAGAGTAGGATCTGCAGATCTGGGCAGTGAGCGTCTGCAGTATGTCGGCTCCCAGAGACGAGATGTGTTGTTACTTTAATGGCCGAACTCTTATTATTAAACTTTTATTTAAATGTATTCCTCAATAGCCATAAAGGATGTAAATTCACTTTGTGTGCACCAAATGCCATTAGAAACCGCTACGTTATCGAGGTAATACTTCATGAAGTGGTGGTGACATCATCACTGGGCCTGTACAGATAGCAGAGCTGTGGGAGTGTCCCAGCTGGCCCTACCCACTACAGGAAGGGGCGGAGACAAGACCAGTCACCCTGCACAAGGCGAGAGAGCAGCAGTGACCGGTCTTTATTACAGGAGGGGGCAGAGACAAGACCTGTCACCCTGCACCTGCACAAGGAGAGAGAGCAGCAGTGACCGGTCTTTATTACAGGAGGGGGCGGAGACAAGACCAGTCACCCTGCACAAGAAGAGAGAGAGAGCAGCAGTGGGCGGTCTTTATTACAGGAAGTCTCACACGTGATTACTGCACCGATCTGGAAGAAACACGCAGCGCTCACCACGATTCCAGGAGAACGCACATGACTCTGGTACGAGGACAGTGTCTGCTGATCCCGGAGTTCAGCTTTAAACCTTGTTGGAATGAGTTTTCATTTCCCCGAGCTCGGTGGAGCTTTTTCTTTTTGAAGCAGCTTCCGCTCTGTTGCTGATTTACATATTGAGCGTTAGTGACCTGCCACTTGTGAGGGATACGTAGATGTGCATTGTAGTCCTGCCAGGGTGGAGGGGGCGGAGTCATAGCCCCCCCCCCCCAGTACCAGAGACAAGTGTTGATAAGACTTTGCCTACCAGGTCCTCAAGAACTTGTTCTTCACTGTCACCCCCTGTCCCCTACCCTCCCCTTACTCTCTTACTTATAGCCATTATACTGCACCAGGGCCGGTTACTTGGGTTGAGGGGTAAGTGCCGACACAGTCAACAAGCCCTCCTCCCTCCCCAGGCTTTACTTCTTAGTAGCCACGGCTGTGTAGATTCACCCCCCCCCCCCCTTTGTATGTGTCTTCTCCGGAAGCCCTTGGCTGTAGTCTCTCTTGTATTACTAAACGGCTGGACGGATCGGCCTCCTCCTCCTCCTCCTCGTGTGTCGCAGCTAATCTTTACAGCCGCACCCTCTGCGCTGGTCACCGCATCATATCATCCGCTCCGGAGCTTCTCCTTCCCACGCAATGCTCTCCTCTCTCTCTCCCGGACCTGTCTGTCCTTCCGCGGCCTTCTCATGCCAAATGGATGTGTCTTGTGAATCTAGCCGGTTGTAGGATTGTACGTCCGGGCCGAAAAATAAACCGGTTTTCAGTACGTATCCGCCGTACATTTCCCCCACCGTGTCTTATCTGTACGTGGGGGAAATGCTGCGTGCGTACTGCGGGGATGCAAGGCAGCCGTCAGAAATTTTGGGGCCCCCGCCACCGCTGCTGGACACGGGGCTTACTGACGCGCTGGACACAGGACCCACCTGGGTGACCCTGCAGAGCCCACCATAGATGCCGCACAGCCCACCTGAGACTCCATGGTGGGCTCTGAAGGGGTCTCAGGTGGGCCGGTCAGGGCTGCATCCCTCCCTCTCCTTCCTTGCTTCCTAGCTCCTCTTACCTGCACACGTGGCCTCGTCTGCCGCCGGAAGTCACGTCACTAACATGACGTCACTTCCGGCCAGTACGGCATCAGACGAGCAGCATCGCTGATGGGGCCCCAGCTTGTCTCGAAGCCGCTGGGGCCCTGTGCTGCTAGGGCCAGTCCTCCTCGCCCTTCGCCGTCGGCCTATAGTCATGTAAGGGACCCGGACGGGCTGCCCGGGCCCCTTACATGAGTATCGGCCGTACCCCGCTGATGGCTGCCCTTCAGGGATGTACTGAACGTTTACACTCCGAGCTCCCCCGCAGGAGTCATCCACATGGAGCGCGCAGCAGAGCCAAGGTTACGACTAGGAAGAGAAGCTGCGTGACGCAAAGGCAGAGGAATGGGGAAGTGAAGCGGCAGAGTATCTAAAAGCATTATTATTGTGCAGGGTTTATATAACGCCAACAGTGTGCGCAGCGCTGTACAATATAAGGAAGACATTACAATCACAAGACAAGATGGTAAGGAGGGCCCCGCCCCTGAGGGCTTACAATCTAAAAGGGGAGGGGCCAGTGATACATGAGGAGGGAGCTGTGTGGGGATGAATTGTTTGAGAACGTGATGGTTCAGTGGCGTCACAAGGGGGAGGGGGGGGGGGCGGCCCGCACCCGGATGACACCATTGTGGGGGATGACACCAGACCAGGTATACCTCATCCCGCCAGGTGGACGTCCTCTCCTCTCTCTGCCGGCGTCCATCACCAAGATGGCCGCCGGCAGGGCTCAAAGACCAGTGCGCATGCGTTATGACATCACGGCGGTGGTGTCACCCGGTCTCCGCCCCCCGGGTGACGCCCAGCCTCGGGACGCCGCTGTTCAGTGGTTAGTTTGAGGTGGGATAGGCTGATGAGCCAATTACCTAAATTTTTGCCAGCAGGAGGTACTGGTATGTGTTAAAGGGAAGTGGCAGCTGTGTGATGGCCGCAGTACCTTTCCTGGAGAAAATGCTGCTCGGCGGCTCCTTCACTGCTTGCCCTCGTGTGACCAAATGCTACTTGGTCACATGGTTTCTGTGCAGGAGATCTGAACTCTGATCTTCCTCTTCGGCACCAATACCATGCTGTGGCCCTTATAGATGAGGCCAGCGCTGAAGGGAGCCAGGAGCAGCTGGGTATTGAATCCCTACTCTTCCTCCATCCCAGCAAGTGTGTGTGAGCAGCAGCTGATGGGATGGTTGGCATGTCGATGATGGCTGCTGTTGGTCGTTAGTAGAGCCGGTAAGGTTTCCCGCACCATTAAAGGAGAACTATGAGGGGAAAATGACTCCGCCTCATAATCTGAGCCGACGTGTGACAATGAGACTGACAGGTCGGCTCAATAGATCGAGAACACATACCGTCACTCGCTCACCTCTCGATCTATACCTGCAGAGAGCCGTGACTGTCACTCATGGCTCCCCGCAGGGATTGCCCCACTCCGATCCTTCAGCGCTGACTGGCGGAACGGAGGGGGCGGGTACAGCTGGCTCCGTCTCTAGGTAGACAGAGCCAGCTGTCACTCACGCAGCTGGGCGGAGCCAGACAGTAATGTCGGGATCCGTCCCGGCTGCGGCGTCTCAGTATACTGCGAGCTGTAGCTCCCTATATACTGAGCCTAGGGTGACGGGAGGACGCTAGTTTGTGTCCTCCCCCGACCCTGAGGAGAACTATGGGGAAAAACACTGACCTCATAGTTCTCCTTTTAAGAAGCTGCTGTCCCGGCGTGTGCACAGGTCACGGAATAACGAGCCGCGTGCGTTGCAGAGTCCATGTCAGGACGGGGTGGATCATGGTGCCGGCTGCCGGGGAGCAGTTACACGTTACTCGTATCCGTCCTGCAACCGGTCTGTGATGTATTCGGCTCTAAGGCCCCGTTCACACTGAGCGATTTATCGCGCGGTAATTCCCGCGGTATCGCTCTCCAATGCTTGGCAATGGGGCAAAGGGTCCTGCTGTCGCGGGTCGTGCGTCGCTACAGCAGGACCCTTTTTGGAGCGGATTTTGCCGCGTTTCAATGCAAGCATTTGCGCGATATCGCGCAAAGTGCAAATCGCGCGACAAGCGCGCGATTTGCGAATGGGGCCTAAGTGATATGAGAGGCACCCTGAGCAGCGCGAGTGCTAGATGAACAAAAAACACATCGCATTCCTCTCTTCCTGCCGCATCTACGCATATGTAAGGGGGACACGGGTGGCTGACTTTGTGGGATTGTACGGGGGGCTGAATGTTCTGATTGGTCATTTCCCCAGGTCAGGTGATTTGCCCGTCCAGTGGTGGCACGCCGGATTCAGTCGGGGATAAAAGTGCCGCTGCGCAACAGGAGCTGAGTAACCCGCCTCAAAAGTCCATGTTGGTGATGAGCGGAGGAGAGGGGTACATCGATTTTAGGATGGGTAAGAGACACTACTGGAGGGAAATCTCACCATTGTGGGAGGGGCAGAGACACAAACTACTGGGGGGAAATCTCACCATTGTGGGAGGGGCAGAGACACAAACTACTGGAGGAAATCTCACCATTGTGGGAGGGGCAGAGACACAAACTACTGGGGGAAATCTCACCATTGTGGGAGGGGCAGAGACACTACTGGGGGGGAAATCTCACCATTGTGGGAGGGGCCGAGACCCTTGGGGCATCATGGGATAGTTTTTGTCTCTACATTTCACGTTGTCCTCCTCAGGTGATGACGGAACGGATTCTGGACATTTAGATGAGTCTCTGCCTTTCGATCCTTCCATGACTAAAGTGGAGAGGAGCCACCTCATCGTCTGGCAGGTCATGTGCAGCGACGGCGAGTGAAGGACGCCGGGACGCGGAAGGACATTTTTTTATATATTTTTTTTGCATGATGTATTTTTCCATCTTTTTTTTTTTTTCTACTCCTGAAATATTTTATCGAATATTTTAACATTTTGGACTCTCTGTATATAAACGACCTTCACAAAGCTAACGCAATGCGTCGTTTCTGGCGCAGGAACTTCCTGAGCGGACGCTTTCAGCCATCTTTTTTGTGGATTCTGATTCTTCGCGTTTCAACGCCTGCAACCTCCCACCCTCGCTGCCGACAACGAGCTCCGTCATTGCGTCTCCATTAACGCGGCCGGGACCTTTTGCATCTTCCGCTCCTCCGTTAAACATTCACGTAAGGAAAGCGGTGACGCGAAGTCGGCGGCTTTCGTCCTCCATGTTGGTCGAATGTTTAAGGAATCTCTTCCGCTGTCGCGTTTCTGGCTGTAAAAAAAATCCCGTTTTTCTTTCCTTCGCCGAGCTATCGATTTTTCTGACGCGTCTCCTGTGGAGGATTCCGGGTTTCCGGGAGGCGTTGTATCCTGCGCTGGTGAAGGAAATAATCGCGTTCACGTTTATTCCCCAAAAATGAGACCAAAACTTTGACTGACGGAAGTGCCGTGCATCGAGGAGCACTTGGCTCTACGGAGAGAGCTCGCCGCCTGCGCGCTGATACGTTGCGTGTCGTCAGATGACGATGGATGCGGATTGGTGGGAATGTTGGTTCTTCGTGTCACTGGGGTGGTCCTGCCCGGGCTGCTCCGGCGTTCCGATGGCTGCGAGCGGTGGACGCGTTTCCTCATTTTATAGGCGTTTTTGGGTTTTGCAGCTTTTTAAATTTGCGTTTTTTTTGTTTTTTTTTTAAAAAGCAAGTTTTTAAAAGTTTATATTTTTTGTACATTTATTTTCATCCGCGATTTTCATATTTTTCGATGAGAGAACGCTGTCTGCGAT